GACATGCCACCCAGCTGTGCTGGGAAAACAACACATGAAATAAGCAAAAGCAGCAAGAGGCAATTGGATGCACCTGACAGCGTGTAGAAGGCCAAGCTTATCGGCTCCCGCCTGTGGCATTCCTTTAATATTAATTGTTTCTGCCACTCATTGAGATGACATTGTGGAAAAGTGACAGATGCATGTTTCCAATAGAGGAGGTGTGTGTGTGTGTGAGAGAGAGAGAAAGAAAGAGAGTGAGCGTGAGCAGCGAAGGGTGAATTTTCTTTCTCTCCTCAAAAGCTGATAGTGTGGTCAGACCTGAAAGGTGCAATCCTTCAAACGTGGCAGATGACTCTTTAACCTTCTCACTCCAATGACAAAAACAGAGCTCTTAACCAAAAGGGGAAAAGAGGAAGCCGAGATACATTTGAGATTTTTCTGTCAATGTTAAATGTGCCAGAGCACTTACTGACACATGACAGTATGACTAGCGCTGCTTCGCTGATTCATTTAAATCAATTTCCCTGCCACTGCGAGAGACAAGTGTAATACCGGGGCTCTCCATCATAATAATTACACAAGCCTAAGTCTATGTTTATAGGATGACCATGTACTAAAAATGTAAATGGTCCTGTTCCTTTTTGCAAGCTACATGTTCAAATAAGAACATCTGTTTACAGAAAAGTATTATCTTTAAAAACTTGCATAAACAAAACAAAAGTTTATATTTTCAGGCCCTCAAATTGCAGCTTTCATATAAATTAAAGGCCAAACACATTTTAATCTTTCCAATTGAAGAGTCCTGATGCAAAAACCTCTAAGGGCCATCTAAAATTTCCATCAAAAATGACAATTTTTCTCAGAATCTTTTTGATTATGTTGAGATATTTCAATTTAAAGACCAAGAAAAGAGAAAAGGACTTATTTTTTGCCATAAATCTGATATTACTGAACACACAAAGAGAAGCCTGAAAAAAATGCTCAATTTAGAAGAAAATTTCAGATGACATTTAGAGGTTTTTGCATCTAAACTGTTCAATTTTAGTTGGAAACCATTAAAGATGTAAACATTGTCAATTAGTATCTTTTTTTAAACGATATGTGCAGTTTTTCCCCCATAATGCTTGTATAACTATGCTTTTGTCAACTGTAATGGGTAAAAATGAGGGAGAAACTACTGCAGGGACCCAAACCAATGTTCATTTTGAACCACTGCTTGTAATTCCTAAAGGGTAAATAACCTAATTATACTAAAATGCACTCCCTTTTTTATAATTAATAACTATTACTTTTAAAACTAGACCAAATTAACTCACACTAAAATGAGAACAATAAAGCATGGAACAGCCAAATAAACATAGAAAGAGAAATAAAGCCTGGGATGAAATAGTGTGGAGGATCAGTGGCCCTCTTAATGTCCGACATGCTCGCCAAATGGCTGCCTCCATGTCTGGCCGCACTAAAGATAGGGCTGGCTGAGCGTGCTGGCACAAATACACTTACTCTCCAACATATACACACAGACACAAACATGGATGCACGTATACACATGGTGCTCCCAAAACAGCATGTGCCATAGTTTTATATAGGATGAAAATCATCCTGCTGCTCACGCCTTTTCATTAAGGAAAATAATGTAGTAAGTGCAATAATTAAAACAATAATGATACATAATTACTTGTGTAAAAAACATGTTGGTTTAAACAAGAACATTTACACTCTGATTAAAGATATACTTTAAGGTATACAGTACTTTTGAGGTCAGTAACATATATATTTAAATGAATCATAATAACTGCTATTATATATTTCCCTTTTCTTTGAGTGCATTCAAATAACCATAAATGACAGCATAGATGTTTCAAATTAGATTTCTAACAACAAATGTTGATATTTTGCACTTTACAATTCTATAATGTCACGACCAGGTGATAATCAATTTCGTTACCAATTCCGCAGATGAGTCTCAACCGATGGGACTAAGAGACTCATCACAATAACTACTTCAACAAAAATAAGAGTGTTTCTTAAGCACTGAATAATCATTTTAGAAAGATATCTGAAATATTAAGTGACCCTGAAGATTGAATGATGCTAAAATAATATTGAAATAGGATAATTCTTTTACAGAAACTAATTTATTCATTTTCTTTTTGGCTTAGTCCCTTTAATAATCAGAGGTCCCCAGAACAGAATAAACTGCCAATGGGTGGGGGGTTGGGTAATTCGGAAGACCCACCTCTCACTGACAAAGGTCCAGAATTTGTCCCATACATGAGATAATTTTTTCCTATTTTGACTGCTATTCCATGATGGTTAAAATAATCCATTGAAGGCTTTAAGACCAAGCAGAATCCTCTGTTGGCTTTCACTTCGGTGTGACTTCAGCTAATCAGCTTTGGCCAATGCTAATAAATATTTTTCATGAGTCAGTGCAATCTGACATAAATAAAGTCGTCTTTCGCTACTGTATTGTTAAGAAAACATTTTACAAGTAACTTTTATTCTAAATCTTGGACCTTGAAACTAAAAATTACCAATGAAAAGGTGTGAATCACCAAAAGCGGAGCATATTAAAATTGATTTGAATATCACTTTGGCTAAAATAGTCAGAAAGTGCTGTAATGATTACCATCCCACAAGCTAATTCAGAATAGTGCCTAAAATGTCGCTAAAATTCAGCATTTAAATTACATAATTGAATATAAAAATTATTTTAATTGTCCATTTGAGTATTATACTGTTTGCTCAATATATGTTGGTACTGCTCCTTCAACAGACATTTAATTGACTATAAGAAACTTTGCGAGTACATGTCAACTTACACTAACCCTAACTCCAACCTTAACAGTCTACTTATAATCTAATGAGAATTAGTTGGCATGTAGATGCAATGTAACTTAAATTCAACAAACGGACCATCCAAATAAAGTGTGACCCATTTAACTTATTAATTTAATATTATAAAGCAAATAATGTGAGGAAATAAATGCAGCACCAGAACACAACTGTCGACTGGCTCTCTCAAGGGACTGCACTGTATAGTTACTTTCCACTAGAACTGTAAACTTCCAAGGTATCAGTAGTCCACAGTGCTTCGAAGTCACCGCAGGATAATGCATCCCTGCCACAAACAAACTCCTCTGGCTCAGCTAGAGACTTGATGTAATCGCCCTCGTTGTCTGCAGGAATCACTCCCGCAGTGGCAGAAGCGAGATTCAGAACACAACCAAGCCTCTAAATCCATACTGAAGTCCCCAATAAATACAGGCCCTGACCCTAGGGCCAGAGTTAAAGAGACAAGGTGATATCATGATAACCTCTCTGTCACACTGCAGCATGCTCAGAAAGGGACAGGAAGGGTCAAGACTGACGCACTGAGGCTGGACAGACACATCGCTCTTAAGACAGACATTGTGTAGCCAACAGTTTGTATAAAGCTTTCTTGCATATTCACTGAAAGATCACATGCAGAGCTGGCAATATATAAAGAATTACACATATAAAACACACAGACAGACAGACTGGCTACTGAGCAGACAAGAGGTTTGATATGGTGACAAATTAAACCTTCCAGCAACTGAGATGTTCTTCATTGATAAGTGTGTGTGGGTCAAAAATGCCTTACACTGCGGCAACAAAATGTTCCCAATGTGACAGTAAACCTGAAATCAGCCAAATGCCCACAGGGAAACAGCTTAATAAACATACTACATGATGTGTTAATGAAAATCTATAAATGCAAATATGGTAATAGGAGGGCAAGGCTTAAGGCTAAGCCAAATAAAATTTGCTCATTAGCTCTTCATAAAAAACAAGAAAAGTCAATAGTAAAGACCACCATGATGGGAAAGCAAGGCGCCTACAGCTTCTGCCAGCACTGTGGGGAACAAATATTCTCTCAGGACTAGTAAAATTTAGGATTTTTTGCTTTCTGAAAACTTGCATATGGAAAAGATCATTTTCTTACCATTTTTTTTAAAGATAAAAAGCAATTCACACATTAACGAAAACACTAAACCAAATAGTTCAATGTACAAAAAATGTGAGGTTAAGTTTAATGCTTCACACATACCCCTATATATAATTCTCAAATAAAGCACAAACAGTTTTTCTCGTGGGCACTGGCACAACATTCATTTTTTTCATGATCTACTAGCTTTGTGGGGACATTTGGTCCTTACAATTTAGATTAATCAACTACACACTCACACTTTTATGGGATATATATATGTTGATTTTTAGACTACACAATTTAACTATGTAGAATAACATATCTTGTATTTATTCTACATGTCATCACCTCGGAATTAAAAGGTTCTATCTGCATTCTGAATGATTTTGAGATGTTTAGCTACAAAGTTTTTGCATTTCATATAGCAAACAGTATGTGTGTAACGTTTGTTTTTTACATAAAGTGTTAAAATCTGTCTGTAAAAAAACATCCCATAATGTAAAAAAAGCTGCCATTAAATAAGAAGGTAAATAACTCAGTTTTGACAAAAATGTCAGATAGAACCTTTTAATTCTAAGGTGACGATTTAACAACCTAACATTGTTTGAAGTGATTTATAAGCTGCTTTCCTTATCGGGGTCCACATGCATGTCAACATATTAAAGATGTTGGTATCATAACATTGCAAGAGACATATTGTTCCAAAGTGTGGAAACAATGGGAATACCCCCTCCCTCTCCACCACCAAACGTGTATGTGTGTGTCTAACCTTTTCAGACACATAGCAGAAAACATGTAAAAAGATGAGAAGCTAAAGCAAAATATTACCAATATAATACAAATGAATAAAAAGCATACACTGTATAGGCTATTGCTGTATGTGTCAGGTCCTTAAACAAAAGTTAGCCATATGTATTTTAATGTAGGCTACACTGCAAATTAAACCCGTATACGATATGACTTCAAAATGTAATTCCACTACAACATCCTCAAAACGAAACCCTGGACTAAATGAAATGTTCCTCTCTCGACCGCTCGGTGTCGCTGTTGCACTGTCACTCACCGGATCCGTGCTGTTGTCTCAGGATAGATGAATTGCCTGGCCGAGGCGAAGCGGACGACTTGACTGCAGAGCTGGTCGTAGTCGTTGAGGCGGGAGCAGGTCCCATTCCAGCCGGCGGAGGCACGTGGGGTTTTCCCTGACCCTGGCCCGGCTCAGAAGTGGCCCGTCCACCTGTCGCTGTGTTGCTGTTCCTCAAAGGCCATCGGTTCTGGATGTGAGACACGGCCTCCTCGGCCAGCATTCCCTCGCGTGGAGTCACGCGCAGTGTGGCCTGCACCTTAAATTCCTGAGTCTCATCTGAGTACAAGTCCAAAACCCGACACTCATACACTCCTTCATCCTCCTTCTTCACAGCCGATAAGCTCAGCTTGTGGGAAATGGCATTGCCCTGGACCCTCACCGTCTGCTCACGGACAGACAAAAACAAGACATCTCAACAGGTTTTGTTGGCATATATCTGTATTTTACATCCTACACTTAGGCCTTATATTGTATTTTTAACCACACAACATTCCGTATTACAAATATAGGCAATTTTCAGACTGTCGCACTGAGTAAATTAGTCTATAATGAGCAAGTTGTACTTGTCTGTACGCAAATAAGAAAATGTATATTTTGCCGCCAAACAGATCTTTGAAATCGCGTTCGCCTGCCCTGGGTAAGTAGCTATAGCAACACGAGAACTTCGATCTTCATCTTTCAAACATTAATAGCCTGTCATTACAACTCTATTTAGCTTTATTTAGGCTATCACTCGTCCACATCAACAATATAGCCTATCCAAAAAAAAAGAAATTAAAAAAATAAATAATAAATACAGTCTTGAGCAAGAATATTTGAGCAAGTAACCTACCACAGCTTTAAAAAAAATAATTTTGTTACTTGTTTAATGATTCACATTTAAACCCTTATAGGTTACATATGGGTCTATTCTTTAAACTGCAGCTTATTCTTTAAAAAGTTAATAATAATAATAATAATAATAATAATAATAATAATAATAATAATAACAACAACAATGATGTTATTATTATTATTATTAGGCCTACTTTACTTTTAATGTCCCTTCAAGCCTAATTAGTTTTTATAATTGTACGCTTTCTTCAAGATTATCTTCCTCTGAACACACCACAAATCTGAAAATGCTAACTGAAATAAACTCACTGTAAAAACACAGATTACGAATACTCACGCTGATTTTCGTGGCGTCCCGGGGGGCCACCTGTAATAAATCACAACAAAACAACGTGAGTAGCCTGCAAGATTGATTACATTATAGGATACTCGCTACACAGTATACAAAAAAAAAAAAAAAAAAAAAAAAAAAAAAAAAAAAACCTTTACTGAAGCTTCAAATGCCTTGACAAGATAATAAACGAGAGTCTCTCACTGGCAGCACCATGGACAGCAACAGTTCTCTTGCATCTTTCATATGGCTATGGGGGATTCGTATAACTGATTAAATTGACAACTAGTGCTTCATTTTATTTTTGATTTAGCTTTGACATAATTTTAGAGATAATTAGCCATTGGAGCATCACAGGGCTAGATAAACACAATGTGCCATTTATTTATTTATTTTTTATTTAAAGCATGACATCACTCACATCATTTTACTGAAAGCCCTCCCACTAGCATACAACCCAACTTGATCTAATGACGTAAATTAATAATTAATCACTCCAGAGCGTTTAATTGGGATTGCTCATCACAAGATATCAATCTGTGCGCAACTGGACTCGTGAAGCCTTTACACATCCCACTGCGGCCGTCAAACACTCCTGCTGCGACTTGAACCGTAACTTGTACAGAACATGCAAGTGTTCAAGCGGCTCTGAGAACAACGAAAACCCCGTTACCTTGGCTCTGTTGGCCGGAGCGCTAATTTGCAGTTCGTGAGCGAGTTCTTTCGGGGCCGCTTCCTTGAGGTACCACCACTGAATCTCCAGGGAGAACGGCGAGACTCCGACGGCTCGAAAAGCGCACGGCATCTCTATGTCCTCGCCCTCACCGACAGTCACATCTTTGGGCACTTCAGAAAATGTGGCTTATAAAAAAGGAAAAGAAAAACATTTACAACTAGTTTGGTTAAAAGAAACCGAGCAGAGACACACTAAAAGCCCTATTTATTTTTAAAAAAGCTTGTTATAAACTGCGTTTCAATTTCAAATCATGGTTCATGTTTAATTCTCCACACGTAGGCTAATCATGATTTATTACGTTGACTTCCTATATGCATTTAATAGCCTACATGTTTAACATGCAACTACGACACAGATAAGGTAACTAGGCTGTACACTTAACCAAATGCGTAATAATACTTTCGCGCATAAAAATAAAACAACATATGAAAACTAACAGACTTAAGTGGAGAACAACAACAGACCCTGATCATGCTGAGTAAATAAGCAACACGGGAGAGATTAAAAAAATCTGCTCAAGTTTACTCACCATTTACACAGAGTAGCAGGGGCGCATTAAGAATGAAATAATAAAGGACGCTGTGGGGTCCTCGTTTTTCCATGTCATAAATAAGGTGGTCAGATGGGAAAACGAGTAAAAGCGGTCATTTGACCTGAATATGCAGATTTTATTTCATTGGCATCTCCATAACTTGTTTTTTTTTCTCTAGTTTCTTCCCAGAAATGTGGAATAAAAGGACGGAAATCTCCAAATAAGATACTCCAAAAGGATGCTGCGTCAGTCAAACAGTAAAATCCAATCCAATGTTGCGGACCAGAAAAAAAACCCCTTCTCTGTTGGGAAAACTGCGCGTGAAAAGTGTTATTCTCTTGAGTAAATATCCTTTTTGCCCCTAAAGAATCCTCTGTTCCACCATTTGCTTCTTGTCGGGATAAAACTTGCTTTCAACAGTAGGAAATCTGTTCACTTCGATCTCCATAAAAAGAGAAAAAATCCGCAATTCGCTTCCACCACCCATCACAAAACAATCCTGTGTCTTAACCCGCGAACCACAAAAAAACTAAAAACTAAAAGAAAAAAGCCCAACGTCGGAGGACAAGGGTTCCCTCGGTGTTTTTTAAGGAGCAGTTAAGCACCTAAACGAAGAAGCGGCATCAGTGGCTCGTTCCAGCTCGCGCCACCGGAACCTCTGCTCTGCTTTGTGTGTGTGAGCGCGTGAGCAGCGAGGAGGCGCTTTGGCATTTCCAGACCACTGACAGACTGACGAGCTTTGGGAGCAAACTAACCGTCTCTGTCTCTCAAATCAGCATATGGCTCGACCAATAAGAAGGAAACCGTACCAAAGGACGCACAAAGCAAATCGGTGGACATAAAAAGCGCTTCGGTGATTCACGCGTTTTACTCTGCGAGATCAACAAGCGGGCATTAAAGTAGCAGCCTTCGCGTCACCACCAGAAGTATTTCATTTTAAAACACCGATACCTCAGATTAAGCACGCACTCTTAATCTCTCTCTCTCTCTTTCTCGTTGTTTCATGATTTGCCTTTGGTAATAATACAGTCGCGTTGATCTGCATTTCTCGTTCTCCCTGCTAGAAAAATCCATATTGAACCATTAACATTTGGAACTGGTTTCTAACTGGACAAGTCATTGCAAGGACAAGATGGTAGATCATCTTGGGCCAGAAAGAAACCAGCTATCATTTGGTCAAACAGATTTTATGTTGGTCAGTCCCAGCATAATGATCATCTTAGAGAAGAAGCTGCTATTACTATGCGTTCCAAAACACACAGTTACCACCTTTAACTTGCTGGTAATCAAAATATGTACCTGGACACCTCAGTCCTGTACTTCACAGGATATAAAAGGAATTCAAGGTTCAGTTATTCCTGTTTTCTGATAACAGCACTGCAGCCTTTCTCAGCACAGATTCTATAAATACGAATAAAATTATAGTGCTTATTATTAGAGTTCAGTGCTTTGGGATATCATGCATGAGAAAAGATGATGTACATGTATTGGAAGAAAAGCTGTGTAGGTGTCTGTTGGTTTTACTTGGATATCTAGAACAGTGAGACAAATTCTAAAAGAAATAAGCAACAGTGCTTAAAAGAATGGGTGACACGATGGTACAGTGGGTAGTGCCTTAGCCTCTCAGCAGTGAGGTCGCTGGGTCGAGCCTCAGTTGGCATTTGTGTGGAGTTTACACGTTCTCTCCATGTTGGTGTGGGTTTCTTCTAGGTACTTCAGTTGCACAGTTCGAAAACATGTGCTGTATGTGAATTGGCTAATTTTAACTGACCATAGTGTATGTGTGTATGTCCTGGTTCTTCAGGTTGAAAGTATGGCTAACAACTAGATTTTACAAAACACCAATAGCTAAGAATCAACTTTGAAATAAATGACCCTGGGAGTAAGTAATTAAGAGTATAAATCACAAAATAAGTGGGAAAACACCTCTGGTTATCAGCCAACACAGGTAAATAAATCACAAAATTTTATTCATTCATTTTCTTTTCAGCTTAGTCCCTTTTTTCATCTGGGGTCGCCACAGCGGAATAAACCGCTAACTTATCCAGCATATGTTTTTACGTTGCGGATGCCCTTCCAGCTGCAACCCATCTCTGGGAAACATCCATACACACTCATTCACACTCATACACTAAGGACAATTTAGCCTACCTAATTCACCTGTACCGCATGTCTTTGGACTGTGGGGGAAACTGGAGCACCCGGAGGAAACCCATGAGAACGCAGGGAGAACATGCAAACTCCATACAGAAACACCAACTGACCCAGCCGAGGCTCGAACTAGAGACCTTCTTGCTGTTAGGCGACAGCATTACCTACTGTGCCAATGCGTCGCCCTCAGAAGTCTATGTCTGCATTTAATATATTAGACAAGACCAGTGTTTCTCAACTACTGTACGTTGCTGGAGGACCACCAACACTGCATGTTTTGGATGTCTCCTTTGTTTGTCACACCCATTACAGGTCTTTCAGTCGCTGCTTATGAGCTGATGATCTACTGTAAATCAGGTGTGTTTGGTTTAGGAGACAGGGAAAATGTGCAGAGCTGGTAGTCCTTATAGGATTGTGGTTGAGAAACACAGGTCTAGACCACCTTAACAGATCAAAACAAAACCAAAGACTTTGAGTGGTTAAAACCCTGACAATACTGTCTGAAATATCATGCCCCAAGAAGCGACTCGAATGTAATCGACCATTGCAATCATTATAATAAGAGAAAGCATAGAGCTGTTGCCAATAAAATCCAATAATTAAAAACAATTGATCTTTGTACTGCACTGTGCTGATCAAGAATATTGTATCTTATAGTCTTATCTTGGGCTGCATGGTGGCGAAGTGGGTAGCACGTTCGCTTTACAGCAAGAAGGTCGCTGGTTCAAGCCTTGGCTGGGTCAGTTGGTGTTTCTGTGTGGAGTTTGCATGTTCTTCCCTTGTTCGCGTGGGTTTCCTCCAGGTGCTCCGGTTTCCCCCACAAGTCTAAAGACATGCGCTATAAGTGAAATTGTTCATAGTGTATGTGAAAGAGTGTGTATGGATGTTTTCTAGTGATGGGTTGCAGCTGGAAGGTCATCCGCTGTGTAAAACATATGCTGGATAAGTTGGCGATACATTCTGCGGTGGTGATCCCAGATTAATAAAGAGACTAAGCCAAAAAGAAAATGAATAAATGAATCTTATCTTGTATTGTATACATTTTAGACAATCCCCTATTATTTTTTTGTTTGATCTGACACAACATTAACAAATTAAAATAAAAGTTATTGATTACATCTGAAGCTGTACGTTTTACATTGCACAGTGACAATGGCATAAAATAAACCAGACAAGGCACTTATAATTAAATTAATAAAGCTGGCATAAATAGGTACACAAATGGTAGTTTGATATTTAATGATAATTAGTCTGAGACCTTCAAAAATGATAAAATCAGCATCAACTACTATATAAAGTTTTATAAGTAATGCACTTTGTGTGTTCATGTGATGTTTTTTTTTTTTTGCAGAGCACTTTTACTTCTATTGAGGTCTAATATAGATAAATAGGCACATAACTAATGAGACAATGAGAGTTGGTTAAGAAGAGTCCTGGCAAGTCATCATTACTTCCATAGCACTTTTACAATGCAGAATGTCAAAGCAGCTTTACTTAAATTAAGAAAAATGAAGAAAAATGATAAATAAATTTATCATATTTCAGATTGTGGAACATTTTGGCATATAAGACAGGAGGAGTGATAGAATGCTGGTGTTTGTTGGTTTAAATGTATTTAATGATGTCAATTAAGTTTAATTAAACTTAGAAAAAAAATGCCTTTTAAAATATTGTATAAGTGCAATGAAAAATGTGTATGAACACAAGTGCATTGTCTAATTGTAATGCTAGTTAAAGTGTCTTCATTTAATTTATTTCCAAATTGACAAATATCACATAGGTATAGATCACTAGCTATTACACTAGAGGAATAATACAGTCCCTTTTTTCACCACCTCTAGTAGTTCGGTGAGCAGTCCTTCTAACTTTCACAAACTGATTTAGTGGTGAAGTCGGGTCAGGTCTTAAGTTTACTTTTGGAAATAGCCATACATTCATTGCATGAGTCAAAATGATCCAAGTTTCCATTTATGCCAAAAAAAAACAAACAAAAAAAAAACATTAGAATATTAAATCATGAAGCATGAAATTATGTTGTAAATGTCCTACAGTAAATATATTAAATCTGCATTTTTGATTAGTAATGTGCATTGCTAAGCACATTTCTCAGTATTTAGATTTGTTTTGAACCCTCAGATTTCAGATGTTCAAATAGTTATATCTCAGCCAAATCAATTTCTGTGGTTCAGGGTCACAAATGCTATTTCTGATTTTATACTTGAAAATCGAATGTTTACTTTAGCATGTTGCTTGCTGTCTTTTTATTGTTGATGTGAAATTTACTAGCAATTTCTGACTGAAAATTTTTTCTGCGCCTAGTTTTTTTCTTCTTCAGTGATGCATATTCTGACATGGAAAGATGTATGTGCTACAAGTCCAATACAAGCCCACTCGTTCAGATGGACGTGAAGGATGTATCACCATATCTGACCACTAATCCTGCGTTGTCCCTGGAGTCTCAGGCTTGTGCGGCAGAGTGCTTCTCTGGCTGAATCCTAAAACAGCCCACCCTCCCAGCTGCCTCCTGCCAATAATGTAGCACTTGTTCACCCCTACACTCCCATTAGCACTTCACCAACACAGAAAGGAAGAGTGCGACTGAGAGAAAGCCCTGATAAAGGAAGAAATGGGACTATGGCGCTATTGAAATTAGGCTTTTGCCCATTATTGATGTATCGGTGCTCGAGAGGTGGTGTGAAAGAGAATGTAAGAGCGCTCGATGTGGCTGAAAAACAAGATGAGAAAGTACATGAGATTGAGAGGGAGAACTGGAGAGGTTCAGATCAGACAGAGAGGGATTGAACAGTAATCTGTCCTTCTGCTGTAGGGAGATACTCATCAGTCAAGCACTTTGACAACAGTCCCTGATATATTTAATAAGAGGAGTCAGATATTCATTGGTAACCCACGCAGCATGTCTGAGGGTTTTGTTTTCATCTTTCCATCTCTTTCCATACAGCACCTCCCTCTTCGTTGTTCTAAAGAAACAGGCTGATTAGTGGTTTGTCCTTGGCGATAAGACAGGTGTCAGTGTGTTTACCTTTAGTGTCACAATTCAAGACTTTAGAAAGCATATAATTCACTCACTGACTGCACTGTGCTTCTTGTCCACAAACATACACACATGGTGAAAGTGGTGCTGCTATTTTGCTTAAACATTTCTCAGAGGGATACATACACATGCAGACATTCAAAAGTTTTGGACTCAACAATGAACTGAATTGGTCTTTTAGAGCACACACTTAGATATTGCTTGACAATATTAGCAGGTTTGGCATGCTGTTCCGGGAGAGAACCCTGAGCTGGGAGATAATTGACCCCAGCGTCCTTGCCTGGTCAGTTAGCACATATGGAGGTCCCAGATCT